CCGCCTGGGCCGCCGCCACCAGGGCCGCCGCCACCCAAGGGCCCCTCCCCCCTCCCCTTCGCCCCCGGGCCCCCGCCCCCGGGCCCCCGCCAGCAGGGCTGCCGCTGGCAAGGCGCCTCTCTGCCTGGACGCCCGCGGGGCTGCTCCAGGCATGGACGGGCGGAGTTCTTCCAGGTGCTCCTCCCCGGCCACCTGCGCCGCCCCCCCTTGGGCCACCAGCGTTGCCTCCTGGACTGCCAGCGCCGCTTCACCCCAGGGATGGCCACCGGCCGCACGCAGAAGGCGGCGCGAAAATTCGCCCCCGACCGGCGCCTTCCGGGACCAGGCAGCGCCGAGTACACCAGCTCCTCAATCGGTGGTCGCGCATATCAGCCCCTCCGTCGGCAGCGGGCGCTCGTTCACGGTCTCGAGGCGGTCGAGGGATCCGCCCAGGTGCAGTTCCAGATAGGCATGCTGCTCGCGCCTCTCGCCCCGAGAGCCCTGACGCACCGCCCGCCCCATGTCCGCACTGCCCACAGATCGTGGCAAGAGCCGTCGCTCGTGCACCTTCCAGGGATCAGCGAAGCCTTGGAGTCACTGCTAGGCAGCTTAAGGCATCGCGCAAGCGCGTCGCCGCTCAGATAGTGTTCCCCAGGGAGCCACGCGCGTTCCGCTACTACCGTTCACCGCGTCCGCTTCTGGCGGCCAGGGAAGCGGATCCCCGATCGTGCCGACGCCTTGCCTCTCCCTGTCCGCCTCCTGGTTCTGCCAGGTCAGGGACGACGGGTCGCGAAGAGGGCCACCCCAGGATTTCTCATCAGGGGCCCAGCCCCGTGGACACTGTCCACGAGTCCTTGGGCGAGCATCCGATCGACATGGCGCATCGCCTGGGCCTGTCTCTCACTCGTGTACGCGCTGCCGCACATGCAACAGTAAGCGACTTGGCCTCAGCTGGCAGGTCAGGCAAGTTCGAGGAAGAGGCGGCTGAATTAGGGCTGGCGGCCATTCCCTTGGCCCCGAGACGGGTGATTGCAGCAGAGTCTAGCTCAGTTCAGCGAGCCGCTAGCTCCGCGCCCGACTTCGATTTCGCACGGATGACCCTCCGCCCTGTAGGACACGTCGAGAACAAATTTGGCCCGTCTCCAGGAGCAATTCGGGGTCCTTTCTTTGTGCCGTGTGCCGTACTACTGCTGATGACAACGGTGTGCGCGTTGGCACAGTGGCACCTGGGATGGCATACGGCGCGGCCGCCGCTTGCGCCAGGCTGCTCAGGGTCGTGTCTTCCGCGCGCGCTGGATACAGCACGCATGCCAAGCCGACCGAGCCGAGCGGAATCGCTGAGCAGAGTGGCTCGCCCGGCGGTCCAAGCCCTGCCCTGCTGTGCAGCCAGGGCCCACGCGGTCACGTTGGTCCCTCTGTCGACGCATGCCTTTCTTTTACCAGCCTGGAACATATCCTTATCCCTATGATTGCTATCGCCTCATCTCGATGCCGATCCTAGGGATCCCCTACGTTTCTCAGGGCGCATCCCTAAGATCGTCGTCGACTTTTGGCCTGCTGATCGTAGGGTTAGGGATGCGTTCGAGGCGGGTTATTGTTAATCCTGACGCAGCCGGCGCGCTTCCTGCGCGCGGCGCCCGATCAGTGCAAGCGCGCGGTCGGGACACCCCTTGGTGCCGTGCGGTGCCTTGCCGCGGGGCGCACCCGCCCTGCCCGCTCGGCTGCTTTTTCCCAACCGTCCTGTGGTGTTGGGTCCCCGTTTTGAAGCGACGGTGCTCCGCGTTCCCTCCTCTCCTCCTCCCCCTCCCTCTTCCATGCGTTTCGCCCACCCAGCACAGCGCTGCGTGGCCCCATAGGGAGTTCCACCTAGGGCCCCAGGGGGGGGTACCACATGCGTCCGCCACACCCAATACGGCGCTTCGTGGCCCCATAGGGGGCTCCAGCACGGCGCCTCGTGGCCCCATAGGGAGCTCCACCTAAGGCTCCAAAGGGGGGGGGGGGTGTACCACATGCGCCCGCCACCACCCAGCACTTGCGTTCGTTGGCCCCGCTGGCGAATCCACGAAAGGACTCCAGGGGGGGGGTACCACTGGCGTCCAGCCACACCCAGCCTACTGCCCTGTCGAGGATCCATACGTTCTCGCTCAACCTCGGGCACCAGGACCCGGGGGTGGTACCACAGGCGTCCGCCACACCCAGTTACGGGCTCGAGTTGTACTAGGGAGATCCACTAAGGAGTTGTATGGTTATGCCACCACACTGCCGGTCATCCACCGAGTACAACGTTTCGTGGCCCCATAGCGAAATCCACCGAAGGCTCCAGGGCGGGGGGTACCACATGCGTCCGCCACACCCAGCACGGCGCCTCGTGGCCCCATAGGGAGCTCAACCTAAGGCCCCAAAGTGGGGGGGGTACCACATGCGTCCGCCACACCCACACGGCGTTTCGTGGCCCCATAGCGAACTCCACCTAAGGTTCCAGGGGGGCCTGGGGGAGGAGGTAGCACATGCGCCCGCCGCACCCAGTACGGCGCTTCGTGGCCAGTGGGGCCGTCCACATGCGTCCCGGAAGCCCAACTTCGCATCTTCACCCACCCACTACAGCGCTTCGTGGCCCCATAGGGAGTTCCAACGAGGCCCCCAGTGGGACCGCCCGCATGCGTCCCGCACGCGCAATTTTACATGTTTCACCCACCCAGTATAGGCTGGTGGCCCCACTAGGAAGCTCCACGTAACGCCCAAGGGGGGACAAGCCCACATGCGTCCCACACACCCACCTAGGAAGTTTCACCCACCCAGTACGGCGTGTCGTGTCCCCGTAGGAAGCTCCACCGAAGCCCCCAGTGGGACCGTCCGCATGCGTTCCGCACACCGCATTTGGCATTTTCACCCACCCAGTATAGCGCTTGGTGGCCCCATGAGGAGCTCCACCGAGGCCCCCAGTGGGACCGCCCACATGCGTCCCGGAAATCCAATCTGGCAATTTCACCCACCCAGTACAGCGCTTCGTGGCCCCATAGAGAGCTCCACCGAAACCCCCAGTGGGACCGTCCGCGTGCGTCCCGGAAACCCAATTTGGAATTTTCATCTGCCCAGTGCAGCGCTTCGTGGCTCCATAGGAAACCCCCAGTGGGACCGTCCGCATGCGTCACACACACACAATTTGGCATTTTCACCCACCCAGTACAGCGCTTCGTGGCCCCATAGGGAGCTCCACCGACGGCCCCAGTGCTACCGCCCGCATGCGTTCCCCCCCACCCAGTGCAGCGCTTCGTGGCCCCATAGGGAGCCTCACCGAAGAAGATATTCATAATTGCGGTACCCACCACTGCATATGGTTGGGTCCTTCGCCAAGATAATGTGTTCCTTTCTCTTGTCGTTTGTTACAAAACGGGTTCCTGTTTGTTTATGTTGTTTCTTTGCGTGTTTCGTTTGTTTCGGTTTGTTATGTTTGCTCGCTTAATGTGCTTATGTGATTTATGTGTTACGGTCGCTTTTTGCTCGCGAGATCTGTCTCCCAGCGCGTCAGTACGCGCGTTGTGGTGCACGTTCTTGAACGCTTTGTTGCTTGGGTTTTGCTCACGAGGTAGCGCACGGCGGACTGTACTAGGCAATCTCTTGGCGCGCAGGGTCCGTTTGGTCCTCTTGCTGGGGGTCGCCCCCATTCGCTCTCATGGTTCGTTGGCTGCCCACTAGCCTCACAAACCTTGCAGATTGGCGCTTGCTTCTGCGAGGCCTCCTGCCTGATAGCTTCGTGTTTTGAGACCAGCGTGCGTGCTCTCAATGTGGCCCCTGCGTCGAACCGCTCCCCTCATGCCCCACGGTGTCGTTGCAGAGCGATTGACCCTCCTGTCGCTGCTATCCGTTACAAGCTGACGATGGGCTTTCACTCCAGTTCCGATTCCCTCTCCCGTTGACCGCTCCCCTCCTCTACAGTCGGGGCCCAGAGGAAGGAACCCTTTTCGTTGGGGAGGGGCTCGCTGTTCCTTAGTTTTTTTGCAGTTCGCCTCAGGTTTCCCTTATGTTTTTCGATCGGAAATCGAAGGTTAACTGATGGAAAAAAGGGGCCTCGCTCCTTATTTTGGGTTCCTTAGGTCAAGCCCCATCCTCTCCCCCCCTCCTGCGCGGGCTCGCCCTCGTGGGCCTCGCGGAGGCCGAGGTCGAGATGCCCCGGGGCGGGCGAGGGAGGGAGCGCCGCTCGGGGAGAGGGAGGCCTGGGACGGCCCCGGCCCCGTCCCCGCGCCGCCGCCCTCCCGCGCGGCTTCCGTCGAGGCGGTGCCCTCATCCTCCTCCTCCTCCTCCTCTCTCCTCCTACTCCCTCACTCCTCTCCGACTCCTTACCTCCTCCGCCCCCTCCACTTCCTCCTCTTCTCATTTCCTTGCCTGATCTCCACTTCTGTCCCACGTCCTCCCTCGCCTCGCTCGAGCGTGGCCCGACGCGCTGCGGGAAAGCGGCTACTCTGCGTTCGCCACAAGGCAGAGTCAGCTGCCCCAGAGGCTCGAGTGGCGATGGCAGTCGCCAGGATGTCATCTATTCATAATCATGTCATCATCAGC